GTCACATTTTAACATGAAATTCTCTTCCCCACAGACTAGTTTACAAGTGGTTTCTCCTTGTGCACAAAGTAACCTATGGCCTGGGAATATTAGTTATGAAGGTCACATTTTAACATGAAATTCTCTTCCCCACAGACTAGTTTACAAGTGGTTTCTCCTTGTGCACAAAGTAACCTATGGCCTGGGAATATTAGTTATGAAGGTCACATTTTAACATGAAATTCTCTTCCCCACAGACTAGTTTACAAGTGGTTTCTCCTTGTGCACAAAGTAACCTATGGCCTGGGAATATTAGTTATGAAGGTCACATTTTAACATGAAATTTTCTTCCCCACAGACTAGTTTACAAGTGGTTTCTCCTTGTGCACAAAGTAACCTATGGCCTGGGAATATTAGGCTACATGATAGTTTGTATGACCATGCTGGGAATGAATTTTATGTTTGCAATTAAGCCTGATACTGCAATGGAGTTTGGAGTGACAGTCTTGTTCTATGGACTATATTTTGGAGTTCTTGGCAGAGATTTTGCAGAGATTTGTGCTGATAAGATTGCATCAAAATTAGGAGTAAGTTTGAGGCTATGATTACTTTGCCTTTTTCAGATCCTAATTTCTAGATGTGGTATGTCAGCCATTTACTTAGCTTGTTGTGTTTCAGTTTACCCTTTATTCAGTTTTACCCTTTTCTGCTCACCATCAGCTATCAGTTATACATGTGAATACTTACAAAAATGTGAAAGTTGATTGGTTACTTAGGACAAGACTTAGTGTTTGCTTAAACACATGTACCACTTTGACCGACTTTAACTCTATCGTGATTTGTTATTCTAATGTATTTTGAGGATGGTGTTTTTCATAATTCTTTATTAAATTCTTCACAACCCCAAGATTAACGAATATTGGGTTACACGTACATGTTCTGACAAAAGAGAGACTTAGCACCGCGTTTACGTGAAACGCGAACGGCAAGAGTGACCGCGTCACCTTGTTTTTCTCGCCATTTTTTCACGTCTGTCTGTCGCGCTTTACCGTTTCTAAGTGGAAGTAACTTGTTTCGCGTTTGCTGTGTACGTAAAATTTTCTCCCCTTGTTCTCTCACAGAGTAGAAGTTAATTTCCGGAAGAAGGACACCTAAACTATTCCTTGAAAGTCATACAAGGGTGCCTTCAAATCCACCATGAAGTGAGCTCACGCGATGCTACAACAGTAAGGTTCACGGTTTTTAGGTGAGGCGTGAAAAGACAAGCTGACGTTTGCACTTTCTCGTAAACGCGGTGCTAAATCTCACTAATAACTTCTTCCTTAAGTGTTTGCTTATGGTGTAATAGGCAGCTTTGCCCGAAAAAGGGCCGTAACGGGTGAAACCCAACACAAGAACCTGCTGGCAGGCTAATCAGCGGTAGACTGCCGGCGACCGGCTTTTATTGAAACCCCGGATGCTGAAGAGAGGAATTCTCTTAAAGAAACATGAACTGTATGAGCAACTTAACTTGCATTCACCTACCATTTTGATCACAAACTAGACAAAATGACGTAGATGTAATGTCAATTCGTATGTTTGATATATTCGCTTTGCGGTTTTGTTTAGTATACAAGTAAAGGTGGTCTTCCGAGCAGAAGTCTAGAGACTAATATATGTGCAGTATGTGGCCAGGAGCTTGTGTTGCGTAGCGATGAAGATGATGACGATGGGCCTGAGAAAACTTATAAACTTACATGTGGTCATTTGTATCCTTACCGATGATAATTTTATTATACAATCTTATGATGCTGTTTAGTGTTATGCGACCACTTATTAATCCCATCCCCTCCCCTCCCCAGGGGTAAGAAAACTTAAAAACTTACATGTGGTCATTTGTATCCTTACCGATGATAATTTTATTATACAATCTTATGATGCTGTTTAGTGTTATGCGTCCACTTATTAATCCCATCCCCTCCCCTCCCCAGGGGTAAGAACACTTATAAACTTACATGTGGTCATTTGTATCCTTACCGATGATAATTTTATTATACAATCTTATGATGCTGTTTAGTGTTATGCGTCCACTTATTAATCCCATCCCCTCCCCTCCCCAGGGGTAAGAAAACTTATAAACTTA